GCTGGGATGATGCTTCTTGTTGAGCTCCACATGGCGAGTGGCTTCACTGCAAGCAGTGTCTCAGCTAGCTGGGTTAGAGTTATCAGTGCATCCTTTTGGTCATAACAGTGTGGCTATAGCTGCTGTTTGAATGAGACTCTCCAGATAATATCTGTGGCTGCACAGTTTGGACACACTACTGGCAGCAGGGGAAGACAGCAAAAAAACATGCTTGAATGCAGAGATCTTCTGACTTCATCTTCACAAAGCCCCAGAGCTGTCTTCTTTGCTTGAGATTCCCTTTGCACCAGCAACAGTCCCTCCTGAATTCTTTCTCCCCATCTGAGACCTGTCCCACTAAGAAAGGTCCAGGAGTGCTTAGGTCTTGCTCCTGTTCCGGTAGTTGACATTTTTAGACTTCCCAAACAATTTTATGACTTGTTTAGTAAAAATGACAAAGGATAAAAGCTCATAATCTCTTTGAGATTTAACTGTGAATTTCCAGCTGTTTTCTAGAGTTTATGAAACGACAGTAATAAATTCTCAGCTGTACTTTAGGCCTCTCGATACGAGGCACTTACGAAACATTACGTAGTGTGCCTTGGAGCAGATGTTATTGCTAGACCTAGTCAGACAGGCAAAATTCAGCCTGTTTGCCAAGTGCTGGAGCGGTGGTCTTAGTGAGTGAAGGCTGTGCCAAAGAATAGTGGCAGTGATGCCATCTTCGCTCACCAACCACGCCTGCACTGGCATTTAAGGGACTCTCCCTGGGGTTGGTTCCTCAGTTCAGAGAGCCCTTAGCCTGATTGTTGAGATCTGCCAGGGAAGAGTGAGGAGAACGGCAGCTGCTTTGTGTAACAGAACACCTTGCCCTGTGGGGAATTATTGCGGTTTTAAGGAGAAGGTATTGAGGTTTCTTTGGAGGTGGACTTAGGACCGTCAGTAACATGACCCAAGATGAGGTTTTCTGTGTGCTGCTCTTACTTGTCCAAGCCTACAGACGTACACTTGTAAAGGCATCAGAAAAATAAGTCAGGTTACGTTATTACTTCTGTTTTTCTGAGAATAAGAAGCTGTTTACTGTGATCAGAGTAGCTGCCCAAAGGGAGTATTTTCTTCCTTACTTCAAAATCCCAGCAGGAACAAGAGATAAAATCAGCCATGCCCTTACAGAAACAGATTATCAGTGCACTGCCTTTGCTAGCACCTTTCTAGCACAACAAATTTCCCAACGTCCTGGTGTATTTGGGCCAACCTAAGAGATTTGCTAGCAGGAACTACATAACCTGATACTGTGCCAGGTCAGAGACTGTTAATAGGGTACAACAGGGAGTTACATAGGATATTTTCAGATAAATACCTGTGCCATAGTGAAGTATTTGTAATCACCCAGGTGTAGAGCAGGTCCTCCTGCTCTGCTAAGTGCATTGTGCCAAGACCTTTCAGTTAGCCCTGCTAGTCTGAGCTTCCTTGGATCTATCACACCGTCTCTTTGTCAGCTTCTTCCTTCGCTCCACCTGCCCCTGGTAGTGTAATGTTCCTCAGTGTCTTCCAGTGACCCACATGACAGAATCAGGATAAACAGCACTGCGCATCCAAATACCAGAAAGGTTAGTTCAAGCAACTGATAATCTGAACACTATGCTATCTACTGTCATGAAGCTTTTTGCAGCAATTTGGATTTTCAAGACAATTCTCTACATGTCAAAGCCAGATCATCCATACTAGGACCAGAAATGCACCCTCCTGGTCTGTTTAGCTTCTTAGCCAGAAACAAAGTCAGGCTGGGTCAACACCTGTTTAAACAGTGTAGTGGTTTGACCCTGGCCGGCAGCC